CTAAACTAATAAAATTTGTAGCTCACGAAACTGGCGCACTTCCACCCCCCCGTACCCGCGGGGCCGTAGGCCATTTTTGGCACTGCAGGTGGCCGCACCCCGACAGGTACCATAGTCCCCCAGCGCGTCCCTGGGGGGTCGGCCCCCAGAGCCCGCTCCACCCGGACCCGACAGGGGGTGGGGTAGGGTAGGGGAGTGAGGTACTGTGTCCAGGTGTGGGGTCGTCCCATTAGGGTCATGGTGTCTCCTCCTGGGGGTTGTCAGTTCCTCCCCCCATGGTCAAATGCACAGTCCGAAATGCCTCCGTTCTGTCTGCATTCAGTCTTGGGCTGAATATCAGATTTCCTCTGTTACTCGTAACTCCTCCATTCTAGTAAACCACAGGGAAAGCGTTGGGGTTGTGTCTTTTTTCCAATACAAAGGTATTAGGTGTTTTGCGACATTAAGAATTCGGATGGTCAGGGAGCGTTTGTATCGTGGTGTGGGGGTTGTCGTGTGGTGCAGGAGGTACGGGGCGGACTGGAACGGTGGGACACTGTCCGTGAACAGGGCCACCATGGCAGCTATTTTCTCCCAGAACGGTACTATGAGTGGGAATTCCCACTATATGTGGAGGAAGGATCCTACCCCTGTCTTGCACCTCCAGCAGCGTTGTGTTTGCGTAGTGGCGATGTAAGTTGAATCGTGAGTGGTGCGTGGTCGGACCACATTGTCCCCCCTATGGCAGAGTCCCGCAATGTGGGTAGGTAGTAATATGGAAGGAAGAAGTAGTCGATGCGTGTGTAACAGTCATTCGGGGTCGAATAGAAGGTGTAGTCCCTAGCCGTCGGGTGTGTCGCCCTCCAGCAGTCCGTAAGCCTGTACTGGTGGAGAAGTTTACGAATTTTTTTTTTTAAATTTGACAATTTTTATTGTACATTTTCGAATGATAAAACTGGGGATACAGAAAGGAAAAAAGGGGGGGGGGGTAGGCATCTGTAGTATAGCAATAACAATATCATTAGCAATAGCATACCAGTAAGATATTTCCCCTTGTTCTCAGTTGGAGTGAGCACTGTGTGTGCCCGGTAGATCTTGTTGTGCTCTCCTTTGGTGTTTATCTTTAGCTATTGGTTCTACCCTTCGTTTAGTTGCCTTAGTTGAGCGGAGGAGGGGGGAGGGGAACTGGGCGAGGATGGCTTGTGTCAAGGGTGGGGGGGGGTTAGGAATGTGACACCTTACTCTCTAGAATTCTATATATACATACAGGGCCGGACTGGGGATACAAAGCAGCCCTGGAAAAAAATCTATGCCAGCCCCATAAGTCATTGTGCTATGTAGGGTGTTATATATTAAAGGACCACTATAGTGCCCTGAGGGTGCCCCCACCCTCAGGGTCCCCCTCCCGCCCGGCTCTGGAAGGGGGAAAGGGGTAAAAACTTACCTTTTTCCAGCGCTGGGAGGGGAGCTCTCCTCCTCCGATCCTCCTCTTCTCCTCCCATGCGGCTGAATGCGCACGCGCGGCAAGAGCTGCGCGCGCATTCAGCCAGTCACATAGGAAAGCATTCATAATGCTTTCCTATGGACGCTGGCGTGCTCTCACTGTGAAAATCACAGTGAGAAGCACGCAAGCGCCTCTAGTGGCTGTCAATGAGACAGCCACTAGAGGAAATAGGGGAAGGCTTAACCCATTAATAAACATAGCACTCTGAAACTGCTATGTTTATGAAAAAATGGGTTAACCATGGCTGGACCAGGCACCCAGATCACTTCATTAAGCTGAAGTGCTCTGGGTGCCTAGAGTGGACCTTTAATGTGTATATATATATATATATATATATATATATATATATATATATATATATATATATATATATATATATATATATATATATATATATATATATATTATTGATAGATTTCTTCTTCTTATTCAAAATATTAGTCCTTTCAGGGTAATTAAATTATACAGTAAAGCATACTCACACACAGACACAGACAATCTTACTGATGCACACAAATAGGCTCATTGACAGACAATCTCAATGACACACACAGACAAGGTTACTGGCAGACACACAAATTTAGTACAGACAAACTCTGATACACACACACGCTCACTACAGACAAGCTCACTGACACACACGCTCACTACAGACAAGCCCACGACCACACCCATGCTCCTTACAGACAAGAGCTCCCTAACACACACACATGTGACCCCTACAGACAAGCTCACTGACACACATACAAGCTCACTCACTAGCAGGCACACACACACAGAGGCTCCCTCACTAGCAGGTGCGCACACACACACAGAGGTAGACAGTCACTGACACCGAGGCAAACATCCACACATACAGACAGGCAGACAGTCACACACACACAGGCAGACAGCCACACACACAGGCAGACAGTTACACACACACAGTCACACAGACAGACACACACAGACGGTAACATACACAGGCAGACAGACACACACAGACAGTCACACACACACAGGCAGTCACGCGCACAGTCTCACGCACACAGACAGTCACACACAAACACACACTAACAGTCACACACAAAGTCACACACACACACAGTCACAGTCACACACACACACACAGTCACACACACACAGACAGTCACAGTCACACACACACAGGCAGTC